CAAACAACTTCTATTATCCAAATCATAAAAAGACTTTGATCGTCAAGCCAAAGAAATTTCCACCTACTTCCTCATTTATTTCAAACCTACTTTCAGCATAGAGTCCTAGAGATAGACAGAGAAACCCAAGAAAGAACACCTCTATTTTATAGCAAAGCATGAAACAGTAAAAGTAAAGGAACTTTCAAATCAGAGTTCTTAACCTCTAAAGTTTGAGGGCAGAAAAAAAGTTTAAGTCTCTAGATTTAATCTGCCTTTGGATACAATTCCAAATCGTATAAAAAAAAATGTTTCCACCCTCACTTGCCACAGAAGGCCTGCCTCCCTGCTCACATGCCCTGCTGCTGACCCGAAGAAATGCTTCAGTTACACGAAGTCCTTCCCCACATTAGGCCAGTGTCCAGGGCACTGGCTCCTCATCACACCTGGGCTTATGCCAAAGACATAAAACTTGGTGCAGATGCTCAAGCCTTAATGCTTCAAGCTGTAGACCTTTTAGCCAATGCTGTAGCCATTACTATGGGGCCAAAAGGAAGAACAGTGATTACTGAACAGAGCTGGGGAAGTCCCAGAGTAAGAAAAGATGATGTGACTATTGCAAACGCTATTGACTTAAGATATATATATATAAATAATGACTAAAAACCTTCTGCACAGCAAAAGAAACAAGCATTAAAATGGAAAGGGAATCCACTATATGGGAGAGCATAATTGCCAACGATATATCAGATAAGGGATTACTTTCCAAAACATATAGAGTACTCACTCATACAACTCAACAAAAGGAAGACAAAGAACCCAATTATAAAATGACCGAAATAGCCCTGGCCAGTCTGAGTGTCGGCCTGTGGACCAAAGAGTACCGGGTTCAATTTCAGCCAAGGGCACGTACCTCGGTTGAGGTTAGTCCCTGGCACAGGTGGCAACAAATCAATGTCTCTCTCTCTCCCCCAACCCCACTCAGTCTGAAGATAAATGTAAAAATATCCTCCGGTGAGGATTAAAAAAAAAAAAAAATGTCCTAAATAGACACCTCTCCAAACAGGACGTACAAACGGCCAAGAGACATATTAAAAAATGCTCAGCATCACTTATCATCAGAGAGATGCAAATTAAAACAACTATGAGGTACCACTTCACACCTGCCAGAATGGCTGTCATCAACAAACCATCAAACAACAAGTGCTAGTGAGGGTGTGGAGAAAAGGGGACTCTAGTACACTGCTGGTGGGAATGCAGACTGGTGCAGCCACTATGGAAAACACTATGGTGTTTCCTCAAAAAATTAAAAATTGAGCCCTGGTCAGTTTGGCTCAGCGGTTGGAGCGTCGGCCTGCGGTACAGAGAGACCCAGGTTTGATTCCCACTAAGGGCACGTACCTCGGTTGCAGTTTGTCCGCGGCCCTGGTTGGTCGTGCAGGTGGCAGCCACTCGATGTGTCCCTTCACATCGATGTTTCTCTCTCTCTCTCATCCTCTCTCTCCCTCCCGCTCTATCTAAACAAAAAATGGAAAAAAAAAAAAAATTAAAAATTGACCTGCCATTTGACCCAGTGATCCCACTTCTAGGAAGATATCCTAAGAACCCTGAAACACCAATCAGAAAGAATATATGTACCCCTATGTTCAGCACTATATGTACCCCTAAACAGCAGCACTATTTACAATTACTAAGATTAGGAAACAGCCGAAGTGTCCATCAATAGATGAGTGGATAAAAAGGCTGTGGTACATATGCACAATAGAATACTATGCAGCTATAAGAAAAAAAAAATCTCCTATCCTTTGAGATGACATAGAGGGAACTGGAGAGTATTATGCTAAGTGAAACAAGCCAATCAGAGAAAGATAAATATCACATGATCTCACTTATTTGTGGAATATAATGAACAAAATAAGCTGATAAACAAAATAGACCCAGGGACATAGAAAGGAGTCTGGTTCAGACTGACAAACTTCAGAGGAGGGGAGGAATGAGATAAACCAAATAACAACAAAAAATATATATATATGTATACATATATATATATACACACACACACACACACACACACTAAACTTGTTCAAGATGTTGCCAATAATACAAGTGAAGAGGCTGGGGATGGCACCACTGCTACTGTACTGACACGCTCTACTGCCAAGGAAGGTTTTGAGAGGCTGAGCAAAGGTGCTAATCCAGCGGAAATCAGGAGAGGTGTGATGTTAGCTGTTGATGCTGTAATTGCTGAATTTAAGAAGCAGCCTGAACCTGTGACAATCCCTGAAGAAATTGCTCAGGCTGCTCTGATTTCTGAAAATTGAGAAAAAGAAATTTGCAATATCATTTCTGAAGCAATGAAAAAAGGTTGGGAAAAAAAAAAAGACATCATCACAGTAAAGAATGAAAAACCACTGAATGACGAATTAGAAATTACTGAAGGCATGAAATTTGATCGAGGTTGTATTTCTCCATACTTTATTAATACATCCAAAGGTCAGAAATATGAATTCCAAGATGCCTATGTTCTATTGAGAGAAAAGAAAATTTCTAGTGTTCAGTCTGTTGTACCTGCTCTTAAAACTGCCAATGCTGCCCTGGCCAGTTTGGCTCAGCGGTTAGAGCGTCGGCCTGCGGTCCGGAGAGACCCGGGTTCGGTTCCCGCTAAGGGCACGTACCTCGGTTGCAGTTTGTCCCCGGCCCTGGTTGGTTGTGCGGGTGGCAGCCACTCGATGTGTTCCTTTCACATCGATGTTTCTCTCTCTCTCTCCTTTCCTCTCTCTCCCTCCCACTCTATCTGTACAAAAAATGGAAAAATGTCCTCGGGTGAGGATAAAAAAAAAAAAAAAAAAAAAAAAAAAAACTGCCAATGCTCACCATAAGCCCTTGGTCATAATTGCTGAAAATATTGATGGAAAGGCTCTAAGTACATTCATTTTGAATAGGCTAAAAGTTGGTCTTCTGGTTGTAGCAGCAAAGCTCCAGATTTTGGTGACAACAGAAAGAACCAGCTTAAAGACATGGCAATTGCAGTGTTTGGAGAAGGGGGATTCTTACTCTTGAAAATGTTCAGCCTGATGGAGAAGTCACTGTGATCAAAGATGATGCCATGCTCTTGAAAGGAAAAGGTGACAAGGCTCAAATTTTAAAATGTATTCAACAAATCATCGAACAGTTAGACATCACAACTAATGAATATGAAAAGGAAAAACTAAATGAATGTCTGGCCAAACTCTCAGATGGAGTAGCTGTGCTGAAGGTTACTGGGACAAATGACATGGAAATGAAAAGAGTAAAACAATGTCCTCAATGCTACATGAGCTGCTGTTGAAGAAGACACTGTTCTGAGAGGGGGGCTTGTGCCCTGCTTCGGTGCATTCCAGCCTTGGACTCCTTAAATCCAACTAATGAAGATCAAAAAATTGGTACAGAAATTATTTTTTGCAAAAGCATCAACATTCCTGCAGTGACCATTGTGAAGAGTGCAGGTATTGAGGGTTCACTGATAATTGAGAAAATGATGCCAAGTTCCTCAGAATTTAGTTATGACACTATGCTTAGAGATTCTGTGAATATAGTGTAAAAAGGAATCACTGATCAAACTAAGGTTGTAAGAACTGCTACAGTGGCCTCTCTGTTAATAGCAGAAGTTGTAGTCACAGAAATTCCTAAGGAGAACAACCCTGGACTGGGTGGAATGGGTGGTACGGGAGGTGGCATGTTCTAATTCCTAGAACAGCACTTTACCATCATTAATGAGAACTGGGAGAGGAAGCTCAAGGTAGTGCCCCTCACCTAGAACTTCAGAGAAGTCACTTGAAGGAAATGACTGAAGAAAAGGATGTCTAATGTTTAAAAAAATCACTATACCCACCAGTTACTGGTTTGAGCTGACAACATATAATGAGTTATTGCTGTCATTATCCATGCCTATACATAACTTATTTTGTATTTTTGAATAAAAAAATATTTGTACATTCCAGATAACTAAGTGCAAGAGCCATGTACCAATGTACTGCTTTCAACTTAAGTCAGAGGCAATTTTACTACTCTTCTGTTCAAATCAGTTTAGTGCTTGCCACCATCCAATGAAAAGTTAAGCAGCCTTTCTGTGGACAGCAAAAATAGCTGTGTACCAAGTAGATAAATATCCAATTATGGGACAACCTTTATGTAATAACAATTTGTTTAAAGTTAAAAAAAAAAAAGAATGCTTCCAACATCAAAAGTAACCACCATCCCTAATAAAATAATCCTCCTAAACCTGGCCTCACTACTAGAAAAAGGTTGTCAAACATCTGACAATTCATAACGCATACTTCTTGCTGTAATAACTGAACTGAATCACAAACAATAATAAACATCCCAATGGTAATTAGGATTAAAAACCTTGACACTAAAATCAAAACCCACCCTTGTCTAATAATGTGCTAACCCAGCTTTCAAAGAAAATTAATTTTCATTGCTTTGAAATAGGTCCAATGAACCGATCGCCAGGAACCTGCACTTGGTGGAGAGCGCACAGTTCAAGGTGCGATAAACGAAACTGTCGCTCAGGATCAAGTGTTGGTTGCCCCCTGGAGAAGGGACGCTGGGCTATTCATTTAGGTGGTAAACGGACACCAACAGGAGGTGTCCTGAAGCAAAGCGCTTCGGGTTCGGTGCCTTCTCCTCCTGGGAGATGGCGGGCAGCAGCACTACGCCTCGCTCACGTCAGGGACACCCGGGGCAATAAGCCCAGGGCAAGGCTCCTGGCCAACCGTCCGACGCCGAGGGGAGAGGGGAGAGCGGGGTGCTGGTGGCCCCGGCCGCCGGACGCCCTCGCCGTCGTCCCCGCGCGGAACGGGAGAGTGGGCGGTCGCGGCAGCGTGAGGCCTGACAGCCCGGAGAGTGAGGGGCCTCTCCTCCCCGAGGCGCCGCTGCTCAGGGGGGTGTGAAGAGAGACCCTGGACAAGGGTCTGCAAGGCCAAGGTCCACCCGCGCGCCGGAGGAACTCGCAGCGCAGTCCCCGCCCGTCAGCTCACCTCGGCCGGCACGGGCAGGTTCTCCGCCGCTGCCTTCAGCTCCAGCACCGAGTCCGTCTGCCTGTCGGTCAGCGGCGCCGTGGTGTCGGGTCTCGGATCCCAGAGAGCCAGCCTCTCCGGAGGGTCCCGCTCCGCCGCCGCCTCCGCCATCGCCGCCGCCCCCGCGGCCTTCAGCAGCAGCGGGGTGGTGGGGACCCCGACGCCCTGGCCCGGGCCACTTCCGGGAGAAACCGGGCTTCCAGCTAGGCACCGGCAGCGGGGCGGGGCGGACTGAGCTGGAATAACCTGAACCCGGAAACGCTTCCACAGTATGTGGGCGGCACTGAGGTCGGGACAGACGTGGCTTTAAACCGGTACAAGTATTTCCGGTTGCGCTGTAGACGTCCAGAGAGAAGGCTTGTAGACCCAGCGGAAATAGAACTGCCCCTACCGGAAGTGCTTTCGTCAACATCCATAACTTTATTGTTACGTGTTGTTCACGACCATTCTGCTAAGTAACTGCGGGCAGGGAGCTCCTGCATCTGCTGCCTGTGCTCACAGCCGGGTAGTCTGTGTGGACTGTGTGGACTGTGTGATTGCCTTGCTGACCTGTTGACAGTTTCGGCCACCTGGATCAAAACCACGAATACAAACTTTACCAACATAAAATAGCTCCTGTGTTAGAAAACTAATTCATGAAAACATAAAAATTCAAAGATTTGTGAGCATCAGACTTCATCAATAGTACTATTAAATAATCGGAAACAACCTAAATGTCCAACATTGAAGAATTCGATCAATATTTTGTGGCACAGACATATAATTGGAATACTGTTCTGCCATTTAAATCATGTTGTATACTTGAGCATCAAAAATACGATATTATTGGATTATAAGTTATAATAACATAACATAAATACTCGTTTGTCCACACTAATATAAATAAATGATTGGATTAGTAACTTGGGGAGAGGGGACAACTCTAGCTCACAGAAGAATTTCAAAAAAATAAAAATGGAAACAATGGGGAAAATAGTAATTATTGTAGCAGGCAAGATATAAGGACAGATACTAAAATTAATAGGTAAAAGTTTGAGGAGAAACATAAATTTGCATAGCACAAATGATCTCCCCAAGATATGTATTAATAGAAAGGGGGCCTAATAACTTTACAGTGGAAACACCTGGCAGACATCACCTTAACTAAGTGATCCAGTCAACATCTTCATCATAAAACTCCTAATATGATAGATCGAGAACACAATACTACTTCTGTGGTATTCTTGCCAAATGTGCAAAACAGCATTCTAAACATGAGAAAACATCAGGCAAACTCAAATTGAGGGATGTTCTACAAAACAACTCACCAGTATTCTTCAAAAGTGTCAAGGTCATAAAAGATGAGGAAGGACTGAGGAACTGTTACATATTGGAGGAGATGAGGGAGATATAGCTGCAATGTCAGAACCTAGATTGGATCCTGGAATAGGAAAAGGGGAAACTATAGAATAAAATATAGATATTCCAATGAAGTATGTAGTTTAGGTAATAGTATTATGCCAATGTTAATTTCTCAGTTTTGATTATTGTGCATAGTTATGTAAGCTGAATGAAGGGCACACCTGAACTCTGCTACTTTTTCAACTTTTCTGGTTGAAAATTATCTCAAAGTCAAGAGTTAAAACTCTAATGTTGTAGAAAATATTTATCTTTTTGGAAAAATGATTATGATATAATTAAGAAGAATGATAATAGTGTATGATCTTATAGCCCAAAATAAGCATTCCCAAAACATTTACAGATGGTTGGGATTACTAATAGATAATTTTCTTCTTCTCTTCCTCTTCCTCCTACTCATCTTTACTCCTCAATGAATTCTGCATTAAAGAGTAAGATTTTTGGCCCTGGCCGGTTTGGCTCAGTGGTTAGAGCATCAGCCTGCGGTCCCGAGAGACCCGGGTTCGGTTCGGTTCCCGCTAAGGGCATGTACCTCGGTTGCAGTTTGTCCCTGGCCCTGGTTGGTCGTGTGGGTGGCAGCCACTCGATGTGTCCTTTTCACGTCAATGTTTCTCTCTCTCTCTCTCTTCCTCTCTCTCCCTCCCACTCTACCTGAACAAAAAAATGGAAAAATGTCCTCAGGTGAGGATAAAAAAAAAAGAGTAAGATTTTTGTTTTAATTATTCAACCCAGCTTCAGAGTATTATTTCCCCATCATATCAATCCACCATAATTTCCAAAAGAAAGTCGTCTTGTAGATATGTACAGATATTTAGATCTATCTAAGTACCTAAAACACACTTTCTCTTCTTCAGACCAGACTGATCTCTAGTTCCAAAAATCTCCATAATGAAGTTAATCCTCTTGAGTTTTGTGATGACAGTTCACCAAACATCATCCTTCAAGAGCCAAATATAAACAGTCTCTCGCAAATTCATTTCTATTGCAGATTTTCCCAAATCCATGACCACTCTACTTTATTCTAAAATTATGTCTAATTCCCTAAAATATTTTTACCAACTGGTGATCCATGGTGTTAAAGGATTGCAATGCAGGTCATGGTATTCCTGGAAAAGATTTGGGGCAAGGCTGAATGTTTAGTCACCTACTGTGAGGTCAAATGAGGGAAGAGGAAGGCAGATATGCAGGACTACAATGCCTGGATTGTTCTTGAATTGAAGAATTGAGGGAGATAAGGAAGGACAGCTGTACCTAGTCACCAGCTGGCTCTGTAGGGGTGGGGAAGGGACATGAGCAGTGATGCAGAGTAACAGCAGTTTTTATTGGGTGTTTTAATTTTTCAGAATACGAGCATAAAAGTACATACATTTAAACAGTGCAGTGGTTACTCACAATGTAGTAGAAAGTACGGTATATGATATACTGAATTTTCTGCTTCAGAGTCTAGTGCTCTTTTCTGTATGTACAAATATTATCTAGTGCCCCCGCCTCCCCCAAAGAAGTACAAATTTTCAATAATAGACCCACATTTATACTCTGGGTAACAAGTCAAATTTCTTCCTGTTTCCAGCTGGTGATTAGCTTATTCCCAGAAGCACTAGAAGACATGACAAATGCAATTGCAGTTTTAATTTTCTACTATAATTCTTATAAATTTATTTAATTCATTGTTGTTTAATTCAAGTAATTGTTCCCATAAATTAATTCAATTGACATAGTAAACACTCATATTGTATGTATCCGTGCGTATGTACATATATGATACATATACGTATTCATATTGTAGGGGTGGGGGTGAGAAGACATAAGTTATCTTGTGAAAAGGACAAAGAGAGGTCAAAGTTGTCTCATCCCTAAATGATCAAGGTCCCTATATCACAGTAGGTGACATTTTGTTTGTGTTTTTCAGATTTCACTTTAAATCACTAAATCGCAATCCTGTAAGGTAGGGTAGGAGTTGTTCTCTTTCATTTAGACATAAAAAAACAAAACACAGGAAAATGAAGTGAGTCATCGAAGACATTGGGGAGAATGCTCTTTCTACAGGGAAATTTGCCAACACTTATCAAAACAGACTATGGAAAAATAAAGAGAAAAGATAGCCCTATTATCCAGCAATTCTATCTCCGAGAATTTATCCTAGAGAAATTCTTGAATATGCAAAAAGTACTTGTACAATATAGTTTGTAATGGAGAAAAAATGGACACAACATAAATATTTTTCAATAAGGGAATAGTTTTGTTCCTGTTATCTATTGCTACATAACTAACCCAAAAATTATGCCCTAAAAGAACTACCATTTTATTCTTATTTTTCACAATTTTGTGGGCCAGGAATTTCTTCAGGGCACATAAGAAAAGTGCCCTGTTTATCATGATGATCTCTGTTCATCATATCTGAAACCATAGCTGGGGTCACATGAAAGTCTACAGGCTGGACAGCTGGGGACCGGCTGCGCATCTCTTCATCCTCATGTAGTCTCATTTCCTCTCTGGCGGTCACTACACATGGTCTCTCAGTGGCTCAGGGTTTGAAGAGATTGTGTCCCAGATGCTTTAGAACTATCCTCAGAAGTCACAGACGGTCACTGCTGCACTCTCCGCCAACCAAGTCACTATGGGCAGGCCAGATACCAGAGGAGGGACATCGACTCCAATTCTCAGTGGGAGGAGTAGCAAAGAACTGGCAGCATTTTTAATTTACAGTAGGTCCGAAGTGTTGCAACTACTAAAATAAACAAAGTTTCAATTCTGCTTCTACCTATGGAATACTTAGGGGGTATGAGGAACTTTTGAAAGTGATGAAAATGTTATCTTGATTTTGGTAATGGTCACACAAATGTACACATGTGTCAAAACTGATCAAAGTGTACATTTTAAATATGTGTAGTATAATATGCACAAGCCATGTACTCAACTATACCTCAATAAAATTGGGAGTGTGAATGAAAAGGAGGCTACAGGCTACGTGGCAAGACTGATAACTACAAGCAACCACATGGGATGTTCAGATAATAAAAATTCCTGAATGAGCAGGTCATAGTGGGAAGTCATGTCCTAGGCCTCTATGATAGACTCATCTTTACTTTAACTAAGCCCTATCCATTGTTTTTGTGCATCTAGGATAACATACTTAAAATGTCAGAATGATCTCCATACCTCCAGAGATAAACACCCCAGTACAAGCCGACCCTAACATTCCTCATTGTTATCTTTTACCGGCTAATCGCTACACGTTGTACATGTTAAATTGTTGACTACTCTGTGACCACTAAAGTAAAAGAAGTGCATAGTTTTCCATTTTCCTTTTTATACAATCCTATAGACTTCTTCACTTTGCTTTCTCCCGCCTCCTTCATCTACCACCAATGGATTTCAGACAAACTTCCTTGCGTCTCCTCCTTACCTCTACTGTAGAAAATGAACTGCAAAACTGTCATTCCCCAGCGCATTTTCTCAATCCTTTGATTTTGCTTTTTGGGTCTGACGCTCAGGCTTGGCTCAAATAAACTCTTTACACCTTTATTTAGGTTTGGAATTTCTTTCATCAACAGAGAAAAGGAAGAACAAAGCAAATCTGTAAGTAATGGCATGGAAGAAAGTTCATCATACCTTGTTGGATTAAGAAAGTAAGTTGTGCCCTGGCTGGTTTGGCTCAGCGGTTAGCGTCAGCCCACGGTCCATTGAGACCGGGGTTCGGTTCCCGCTAAGGGCTCGTACCTCGGTTGCAGTTTGTCCCCGCCCTGGTTGGGGTCATGTGGGTGACAACCAGTTAATGTGTGTCTCTCTCACATTGATGTTGCTCTCT